GGGAGACTGAGTTCACATAAGGACAAGGTTAGTCTTGTGCTGCACCAGGGGTTGGGCGGAGGGGGTTTGTTTAAAAAAAAAAAAAAAAAGCCCTCAATCTGGTTGCAATAAAACAGCCTGGCTGTCTCATAAAAGCGGAGCGTGTTTCCTGAGCGGAGAGCCGGCGGGGGCTGTTTCTCTGCGAGCAGGAGGGTCGGGCCCGGCACGGCAGGCAACCGCAGACTCTGTGGTTTCGGAGCAGGGCTGGCGTCTCTCCCAAGGCTTCCACTGGAGGCCTCGGCTCCAAGAAGCGTCGGCTTGTCGGGGCCTTGCATTGTCCACAGACAGGCTTTGGTTGCAACTCAGCGTGCGGTGGGCTTGTGGGTTTGTGCTCGTGAGGGAATGAAGCACAGGGATGGGGCAGCAGGCCCTGGGCCATTTTCACCCCAGGTGACTCCATGTTGACCTGCCATATGTTGGGCACTTGACCCCAGTTCAGTGCTCCCTCTGCTCTTCCAGACCTGGGTTTCTTCCACACAGCTTTTCTGGCGCCCCCAACCCTGCCCTGCACCCCGCCTCCTGCCCCTTGTCCTGTGGAAGCTGCAGTTCCCAGCCCACAGACTGTTTCCAGCCCGATGCTTGGACTCTGCTCTGGATGCTGTCTCCAGAAACAAGCTGCGATCAAGCATTCGGAGAGCTGTCCCACAGCAGAGCCCTCGAGCTGGACTCCATGCCAACATCTGCTCTGCTACATACGTTTGCACACATCCAACAGTGCTGACGGGACCCGGGCAGCCAACATGTGTAATAGCCAGGCAGTCCCTAGGAGCACGCAGGGAGATGAGTCCTGTGCTGCCCGTCTCTGGGGTGGGAGCCTGGTGGCTGCTTTGTTTGGAGAATCGGCTTATGGAAAATCTTAGCGTTTCTGTCCTTCTTCTCCCCCTCCCCTAGCTCAAGTCCTTCCTGAAGGGATGCAAGGTTGCCAACTACTGCAAGCCAATGCGGCAACTTCTGGAGAAGCTGCAGGAAAATGCTGCCTACATTGACAGCCGGCGCCAGAAAGCCACCTTTGGCGTGGCCAGCACGGAGGCTGTGGTGAGTCTGCAGCTTGGGGTTTGGGCTTCCTGGAAAGACGGTCAGACTCCAGCTGCTGGGGTCAAGGCAGTGGCAGGGGGAGGAGGGGCAAGGTCACGACGGCAGGAGTGAGCATGGTGTAGGGGGTGCATTCAAAAGCAACCGGGCCCTGTTGGAGGCTGTAAGTGGGCTCTGTGGCCAAGGGTGGCACGGAGAGCAAGGTCTGTTCCTGAAGCAGCAAGTAATGCAGATGTGGGCCTATGGGATGAAATTCCCTCTTTGCGTGGCCTAAACAGCATATAGGCCTGTTTTGCACATGCATGTGTGTGAAAGGGACAGAGACTGAGACAGAGCCAGGAGGATGGAAATCCTGTGCCAATATTTCCCGTCTACCCCTCCATTCCTCCCTCGGCCCCCCCTCACTCCCCTGTGCTGGCACCATGCTCGAATGCTTCTTGGCTGCGTGTAGTTGGAGATGCTTCTTCTTGCCTTCTCTCGCTTTGGCCTGTAGTCTGTCTGCACAAAGCCAGGCCCGCCGAGACAGTGGGAAGGGAAGGAGGATTGCCAAGGGAGGCCGATCAGGTCCCCTAATGCTGAAACTTCGCATTGTCTTGGCTTGAACCCTCTCTGGGATGGATATGCTATTTGAACTCTGCAGCCTGTGAATCTACAGCGGTGGAGGTGGGTGGGGGAATGAAGTAGGGCCAGCCGTTCCTTTTCCAGGTGAAAATACTTGAGCCTGCAAAATAGTCTGGGGTTGGAGTGAGCCAGAGGGAGCAGCACGCAGGTGAAAGCTCCACCTGTTAGCACCAAGCCGGGCATGGAGCAGGAGTTGTACTGCAGACTAATTTATCTTCAGACGCTCAGCTGTGGGGACTGCAGGGAAATTATCCTTTTAAATCCTGGCATATCAGCGCCAGGCCGCAGCCGCGTTGTTCTGGGATTAAGGGGCTGATGGAACTGGTTTTGAAGTGACTAAGTATGCTTTGGTTCTATAAATGCCGCTCTGGATCGGACTATCTCGCCAAAGGGATTAGTCTTCCCGGCTGGAGCGAGGTTTTTTTCCCTCGCAGGCAAAGCGGTGACCACCCACCTGCTCTGCAGAGGGGGAGATTGCAGCCTCTGGGGCTCTCACGAAGCACGGGGCTGAGGACGATCACATGCTAAATAAAAAGGGTTTGCAGCAGCGCTGCAATTATCTGCTCGCTCCCAGCAGCGCCGGCTGTATTCCTGTTTATCGCAACGTGGTGATTATTTTTAATGTCTCGCTGCCTGCGCAGGTGCCAGGTTGTATGTGGCACCTGCTCTCCCCAGGAGAGGCAGCACCTGGCTTTGGAAATGGCAGGCGTCAGCCAGACGTTGGCTGAGCCCAGGGGTGCATCTGCGGGTGGAACTGCATTGCGCAGCGTGGGTGAGCGTCAGGTTCAGAGACATACAGCAGCAGCCTGTGGGATGCCCCATGTTCCTAGGTTGCCTCTACGCTGCGGTGAGGCAAGCAGCATCATGAAGAGGAGGAGGGAGCATAGCTCCTGCCTGGAGCATTGCAGCAGCTAGTTGCTGAGCCCCTACTGCTCTCTGGCAGAAGGAGGGACAGCTCATCCCACGCTCCCCGGGCGAGGAGGGGACACTGTTGACCCATCTTCTTCCCCCACGAGGCAGGTTCTGTGGCCACTGCCCTGCAGACAGCCCATGTGGATGTCCAAGGAAGATGGCATGGTGTGGCGTGCCTCTCCGAGTCCAGGCTGAGCCTGCCTCCAAGCACCTGGTGCATGTGGGGCACAGGCACTCTTCCTCAACAAATCATCACTGCTGGAAAGGGGTGGGGGGAGAAGGCGCCCTGACGTATGCATGCATTCTCCAGGCCACAAGAGCAACTGAAAGCAAATGCTCTGGTGTTCCCAGCTAGCCTCATGTGCAAGCGCCCCGGGCAGCTGACAGCTCCACAGACGGGAGGTGGAAGTGACATCTCAAGGCCAAGCGTTTCTGCCCCCAAGCTGTTGCCTCGGTTCCCAGGCAGCTCTGGCCAGACAGAACCTGCTCATGAGATCCTGAATTTGCAGAGGAGTGGGTTTAACTGGCAGCCGGGCTCACAGGCGTGGCTGATTTTGAGTGCCGTGAGAGAGGGGCTTCGGGCACTTTTCCACTTGCCCCTCCCTTCTCTGCTGCCTGGGCCTTTTCTGCTGAGAAACAAGGGCTTTTGGGATTCATACGGGGGGCTATGGTGGTGCAGAGCCAACATTCACGGCCAAAGGAAGCCTGCAGTGGAGGAGCAGCCAGTGCTGTGACACCCCCGCAGCGTCCCCCAACTTGAGATTCAAACGGAGCTGTTTGCTTTTGCTCCCGAGGCACCGTGTGGCAGAGCCAGGGCTGCTCGGAGACGCAGGGCCGGATGCTAATCGGATTAATGCATTAATGAATATTTTCCTGGGCAGAAAACGGAGCCTGCTGCTCACGCTCACTCAAGACACGCTGCCTGCCAGCCCTGGCCACAGACTCCTTGGCACCGGTGCAGGTCGCTAGGGCAGCGGGATGAAGGGCAGGGAGGGGAAGGCGTGCAGCCAGGGCTACAGGCAGCTGCGTCTGCTGAAACCCAAGGGAACGTGTTGTCCTCTGGGCTGGTTCTGGCGTGTGCCCTGGGCATGCCTTCTGCTGTCCTAGCCGTTCTCGCACTTTCCTGGGTCTCGTACCCATTTTGAGACAATATGCTGCTGTGGACAATAAGAAAAGTAATGCTTGATCCCACTAAAACCACAGCAGGACCTTCTCGCAACACAGGCTCCATGGAGAATGGCTCTTTGTTTTCTTAATCTTATTCCCTCCCTTTATATTTGCCCTTCCTTTTCTGTTGTTTCCTCTCGTGGACCCCCAAGGTTCACAGCCTACCCTTCAGTCTACATAGCCTAAGTTGTGAAACCACAAGGCAGAGGATGCTCAGCTTGCAGGGAACAGAATCGCAGCCATGTGAGGGGGTTCGGGAGAGGACGGGGTGTAGCTGACACCTTCAGTTCAAGCTGCCTCAGAAGATGAAGTCTTCCATTTCAACAGGGAGACTTCAGAGAGAACTTCAGCCCACCGGGCACTTGTGGACAAAGAAGCAGTTGCTCCAGTGCCAGGTGGTGGCATAGCCCCTAAGCGATGAGGGTGGACTGGAGGTGCCTACACGTGACTGCAGTCAGGCCAGTCTAGGCTCTCGCTCCCTGCCACGCGTCGCAGAGGGGGCTGCATTTCATTAAAGCCCAGGCGAGGAAGTCCTCGTGACCTATGAGAGATCACAGCCCCACAGCATTGCTGTCTGTGGATGCAGCACTGCCTTTCGACCTGGGCTTGCAGTGAAACAGCAGCCAGCTGTTGCGCGCTGTGGGACCCCCCTCCCAGAACGGAGGATGCAGCTCAGGAACAAGCAATTCCACAAAATTCCCATGAGAGCAGAGCACCACATTGGAAGTACCCTGCCGGGTCAAGGGGTGAGCCTGTGTCCAAAAGGAGCAAGCATTTCGAACCGTCAGCGAGTTGCCATCACTGAAGAATCCTACCAGGAGGACCGCTGCCCAGGGAAACTTCCTGCTGAGTGTGAAGTGAGGGAGCATGGGGGAGATGCAAGAGCCAGGGCAGCCCACGGGAGTGGTGAGGCAGAGCTCTGCATGCCGGCTGCCCCTAAAAAAGGCAGCAGTAGAGTGGCCTCTGGAGGAGGCCTTACCAGTTGAAGTCGGGCTTATCACAGCGATGGAAGTGCAGCCTCTGGATCGGTTGCAGTTGAAACCCAGTGATGTTCCAGCATGTTGGGCACACGGCAAAGAGCCCTTCTTCAGCAGAAAAGCCACTCCCAAGGACAAGCCATACTCGGATGCTTCATCTAAATGCTCGATTATGGTTAGAAGGCAAAAGAGATCTCTAGGAGAAAACATCCCCATGCTGCTCGGGGATTGCCACTCCTGCCTGATGGGTGGGAGGGAGCAAGAGCAGAGCTGGGTTGTCTGAGAGCAGGCATCTACAGGGACACATGCCAGTAGACGCCAGCCTCCTGCTTGGTCAGCATGTTGAAGAAGGGTTGTGGGTAGCTGGACCGCAGACGCAGGCTCTGGTCATGCTGTCTGGAGCCGGGTTGCAAACACTCCCAGGAGGGGGATGTGAATCTGGGGCCTGTCCTTCCTGGAAAGGGCCTGCTCAGCTGGAAGCTGTGGTATCAGTGGTGCCCATCCCGGGACATGGAGTGGGATTCTGCCTCATTAGAGCATGGATGACACGAGTCACCCAAGTGCGGCTTCTGGGGCCGGTTGCAGAGACCACAGATCCTGTGTTTCCGCTCCCAGGTGTGCTGTAGCCCCTGGGCTATATGCCTTGCTGCAGCTCCGTGGATGCAGGCTGACTCTCCACCAGGGAATGGAGCTGCCCTGATTTAAGGAGCTGCCAACTCTCTGCTGCCTCTGCCTTAAAATTCTTCAGATAAACCTTTCCCCCTCCAGACACAGCCCTGAACAGGGGAGCCCACGCTCTGCAGTATCTCGCCAGGAGGAGCTGCTCCCGCGGGCTGAGCCCGCAGACAGAATCAGGGTTTTCAAGCAGTGCCACAGGAGAGATGGGCTGGAAGTGCCTTTTTTGTTGCTGGCGCACTCTCCTGAGTGCCAGATGAGGGCACCGTGCTGCTGCCCAGCACATGCCAGCTTGCTTAGTTCACTCAGGTGCCAATCTCTCTCCTGCTTTGCCCGGCACTGAATGGATCTGCATTCATCTCCATCCTGTCACTACTCCCCTCATCCTCCTTCTCCCGCTCCTCCTGATTGCTACCTACACTTGTTGTCTCTCCTTACATTAGATTGTCTCTACGATGTGCTTGCCCGACGCCTCTGGGCGCTGCTGTAATCCAGATAATAAGGTACAGATCTATGTGGGATCTGAGTTAAAGCAGCGCTGCCAGGTTGAAAAGCATGCGTTTGAATTCGGCGTGTCCTCTCCCTCTCTCGGTAATCGCATTCCCGATGATTAAAGCTGCAGGAATTTCTAACCATCTAATTTACTTCCCACTATTTATGGCACTTGCATCTCCTGGTTCCCTCTGCTCGGGCAGTAAAAACAGATGCGGTGGTTCTCGCTCTCTGCTTTCGCAGACGGGGAAATGTTTGCTTCGGAAATAAATGCTTTGGCCAGAGACTTAAAACCCAATCAGCCCTCCCTTGAATGCGGCTTGGAAAATGCCGGCTTGAGGTTTCTAACAGCAACAAAATCCTGGGTTTTGGGACCAAGTTTGCCCTGAGCCATCGCCAGGCCAGACGCGGAGCCCAGAGATTCCAGCGGCTGAAAATCCCCCTGCGCTCTGCCCTCCAGTTGTGCTTGAAGCTGTGGCTCTTTCTTCAGTGCTGCTAACTGCTGTGTTTGTGTCTCCTTCCCAAAGCCATGTAGTGCAGGGGGGTCTCAATTCAGGGTCAGAGCTTTGCAGGGGAGACATTAAAAGAAGAGCCTGCAGAGAATCAGGCCCCTTCTCGTAGGGGCCTAACTATGGGTCTAAAAAACCATAAGACTGCCAGGCTTAAGAGCCTTGTTGCACGTCCTTCTCTGCAAAGCACCCAGTGTGCAGTGCACCCAGCTCTGACTCCTCCGCGAATGCCAGCGGTGTCTGCATCCTGAAGCCCTTGGGAGTTAAACCGTGCAGGCTGGTGAGCTCCGTCAGGCTGCCCAGAGCAAGTGATTTTTTTGGGTGATCTCATTCCTTTTTGGGAATGTCCAAATGAACCCTGAAGGGGGTGTGGATTTTGGACACTGCTGAGCCACTGGTCCCAATACTCATATTCTTTAAGGTGTCCCTAGCCGCTTCTGCTCCCAGCTGTTGTTTGCATGGGGCAGCTTTGTCCGTGGCCTTAGCATATGTCCCCCAGCCCAGCTGGCACTGGCAGTGCTGTGTGGCAAGTCCCATTCGTGACAATGTTTTCACCCAAATGAGGGCTCTAAATCTTCACAGCTCCCAGCCCTGGCTCCATAGACTCGCTCGTGGTTCAAAAGAATAAAGCCCGGGTCTGCTCAGAGCAGGCCCTGAGGCTGGGCGCAGACTCCCTTGTTAGCCCTGGGACATCCCACGAAGCCTAAAGCCGGTGTCGTCCTCTTCTTTCCCCGCAGGAGCGGTGGGAGAGGCAGGTCCAAGAGGAGGGAACACCGCTGACCAAGTACTATGTGCAGTGGAAGAAACTGAGGGAAAAGGAGATCCAGTTGGAAATCAGCGGCAAAGAAAGGGTAAGGGTCAATCCCAGGGCTGGCTCCAGGGACAGCCCTGCTCTAGCAGAGGCCTGGTTCCTCTGCGGTGTGAGTAAGAGATGCTCTCTCTCTGGGGGGAGCGTGGGTGGGTTGCATGCCTGGGCAACCGGTGGGGAGTTGTGAGCCCTTGGCTTCCTTCTGCAACCTCTCTTGGGTCCCCAGCCCAGCTGCAGCCTTCATGTCTGCTCCCGGGGCCATGCTTTCCCTGGCTGAGTGAGGCAGACATGGAGGTGGGGAGAGGTGGTGATGGCATAAGGAGTCCCTTCTTTCTGGTGCTTTATGGGAAAGTTACGTGCTGCCCAGAATCACCCTGGCACCACCCAGCTTCCTGGCGTCCCTCCTCATGATGGCAGACTTGAACTTCTCCACGTGCTTGGAGCTGTGTTCGGTTCAGGGGCTTTCACTGGACCCTTCCCCTGTTTACAGACAAAGCTTGTCAGGCACTCTCAGTTGCTATATATTCTCTGCGGATGCAGTTTTTGGGGGGGGGCTGGAATAGTTTGGGCCACACCACAGCCCTCTACACCGCCAGGCCTCGGCTCTGCCGATCTAGATGATGCTGTGGCTGCCTCCATTTCTCACGTACCCTCTGCTGCCAGCTGGTCCTGGCAGAGCATGGCCAGGATCTGTGAGACACCTGGGGGTGCTCTCCCCTCCATGTCAAGTAGCTAATGCACTGGAAATGGCTGAGCTGGGATGCCTGGGCAGGGAGCCTGCAATAGATAGTGTCACCAGGGTGGATGGGAACAGCAAACAGAGTCCGTGGGGTGTGATTCTGGGCTCCCAATGGAGTCATGGTGGTGGGAGACAACCTGGGGGACCCTGGGTGTGTTCAGAGTCCCTCGCTGGGAGCTGGTCCTCCTGTAGCACATGTAGCAGCTATCCTGGACTGCAGGTGGGGCTCAGCCCAGCACAGCTGTCCCCAGGAGCTGAAAAGGAGATAGCCCAGCTGTGCAGGCCAGGCTCAAATCTTTCATGGAGGAGCAGGAGGCAGAGGGGGTATCTGTTGCCAGCAGGAAGGGGGTGGGCGAGGTGAGAGCTCCCTCAGGCAGGTTTCCCCCCAGGGAGCCGGGGCAGCAGGTAAAGGGAGAAGCCGGGGATTGTTTCAGCCCCTGCGGGAGTGGGAGGAACAGACAGCCGACCTGGAACGGCTGGGTCTGACGGGAGGCTTCAGCCAGGCCGGCTGCTGCCTGCCATCGCCATTCAGGGAGTAGGGCTGTTGTCTCTCTCGGCAGGGGGCTGCTGTCTTAATGATGCGCCATTGTGCGCTCCAGCAGGGCGCACAGCACCACGAGGCCCATTAGGGCTGTGAAAATCCATGTCCCATTAGCAGCCATTGAAACAGAAAGAGCTCCGCCTGGCTCCGAGCTGCGAGATGCAACTCGGTGTCGTCACACTGACCCCGGCTGTCAGCTCCGCTCCCTTCTCACAGCGGGACCTAATGGGATGCGGGCTAATCGGCAGTGCGAGAGGCTGAGAAGAGGAGCTCCCTTGCTGGTAGATGGAGGCCTGGCCCCTGGCTTGCCAGGTTACAGCTGCAGCACAACGTGTCTGGGCTGTGCTGTGGAGGGCTCTGTCGCTTGTTGGCTGGTTGATGCACTGGCTGAAATCATCCTGAAGATGCCCGACTGGGGTCCTTGAGAGCAGGCGAAGTGTGGGGGGCAGCCCACTTCTGAGAGTGGGGCCCCTGGTAAGAAGCCACCAGCTGGGCATGATGGAAGTTAAGTCCCCCAGCAGCACAAGTTGCTTTTGAAGTGTAGGCTCGTGTTAACACCCTGGCAGTGAATGGAGTCTGGGACCCTGCCATACAGGGTGCTGAAGAGGCCCTGTGCAAAGAGCCCTCCCAGCCTGGAACAGCTTGCATGCCATGGAAATGTCAGGTAGCTGCGCCCGGTGCAAAATGCTGAGGCATCGGCCGCTCCTCCCCTCCACGCAGGCGGTGCATGAGCTGTGCATTGCTCAAACCCAGTTCCTTTTCCCCTGAAAACCTTGCTGTGCTGCCTGTTGCCTGCAAACAGGTCATATTCAGGCTCTTAATGAAACGAAAGGGAGGGGCAGAGAAAATCTCAGATGCCTTCTGCATTTTATTGGCATGACTGAGGAAGCCTGATTTTTCCCTCCTGATTTTTCCCTGCTCATTAGAATACAAATACCTGGTCCCGGCAGTTCTTCCTTCCCTGAGGGTCTTGCACAGGAACGGGGCACCCCAGGAGCCTGAAACGTGAGACTCCGTTCTCCTTGCCTCCAGCGAAGCCATGGAGGGAGTTACATGATGGGAAACCAGGCCTTCATAAACAGCTGCTGCTCAGAGCAGATTGAAGCTGTCCACGTATCCTAGAGGTCAGCATTGGGACCAGAGCTGTGCAATATATTCATGAATGATTTAGCCAAGAGAGCTGATGATGGTGTTTGGCTTAGTGACAGTACACAGCACTGCAAGGACGGCCCCAGGGAAGTTGGTAAAGGTGCAGGATTGGGCAGTGTAGCTTGCAGGTGCTGCATGGTCTTGAGCTGTGTCTGGTCCTCCCAGGCACCCATCCCAGTGACAGTGGGTGAAGTGGAATTGGGATCCATGTGAGCTGCACTTGGAGTCTGTGGGGCTGCCAAGGAGGGATGTGGGCATCCTCCAGAGAGCTCGGTGGAGAAACCTGCCAGGTGCACTGTGAAAGACTGAAAATACAGAGCGGCCTTGGGCTGGCATTGAGCTCCATGGCCTTGGGGGTTTGCACACTTGCTTTGCACATGTATGCTGCTGCACTTGTGTTTAACCAGTCCTCTGCTTAGTACTCGCATGTAGCCAGCCAGCGAACCACTACTCGTTACACATGCATGGCCACAGCATGGCATGTGGCATGTTGAGTTTCCGAGTTGAAGGCCAACCAGATTTTTGTCTTTAGATATGAAGTAACAGTTTCATCTTCTCTGGGCCCCTGCATCCGTTGCCTTGCTACAAGTAAAATCATCAGTGGAGGTGACAGCAGCACAGGTTGTACTGCTTTGTGAAATAGCCACAAAGCATGCGACAGTCAAGGCACCTAATCTTCTTGCTTGCCCATGAGGTGATGGTTACAGTGAGAGTGTTTCCTTGCCCATCCCAAAGATGCTTTGTCTTAGACCAAGGTTAGGGTGCAAGGCAGAGAGATTGCAAAGCCAAGGACCGTTCACATGGGCAGAAGTTGACTGGGTATGCATGGCTACTCCTGTGATGCAGCTTGCAGGGACATTGTGCTTGTCTGCAGAGCTGGTGGCTGCCTCTCCTTGAGCCAGCACTGCCAACAGCCCTTACCTCAGAAATAAAGCACAAGGTGGCAAAATGGAGTTAGCTCTTGCTAGTTTGGGGAGCAAACATGTCTTAGTACCAGCCTGGTACCATGCTTATCCTTGGCGCTTTTACCCAAATGGCCCTGTGGGACAGTGCCAGCTGTAGCTGGGCGGCTCTAAAAATGAAAGAAGTTAAAGCAGAGGTGGGTAGCATTTGACACTGCGAATTCTTGCCATTTAACCCTGTTCAGATAAGGGTTACATGACAATGCAGCAAAAGAGAAGCCCAGGGCATTTCTTTGCTATAGTTCCCTCTCTGCCTTATTGGCACTTGGCTACTCCAGAGCTGGCGGGTGCTGAGACCGTCCAGACCACCACTCTGTTCTGCTCTGCTCTCTATGATCAGCACTTCTGGGGACAGGCAGGGCTTTAAATCCAAGAGCCGGGGACAGAAGAAGATGCAGCCATGTACTCACGCTCATCAGAAGGTTCTTGAGTGCCCCAGGGCTGCACCCTACATTCAGCTGGACTCAGTGCAAAGGAGGTGGGTTTTCCCCTTCCTGAAAGACTTGCAATGGGGTTTTACCCAGCAGATGGCCCGGAAGCAGCAGCTGTTTGTCAGCAGCACCCCGGAGTGGAGATGCTTTGCATGCCGTAATGGACCTTCATAACTGCCTCCACCCTAGGGCATCTGCTGCTTTCCAGGGTGATCCTTCACCTTCTGGCACTAGGGGTTTCACTTGCTGAGCTCCTGGCTTTGACCCCAGTGCTGCATGGCTAATTGCAGCTGGGGCTGGGCCCACCCTGTGATGGGAAAGCAGAAGCTAAATATGTTTTCACTGATCCTTTCTTTTCTCTCTCTTCCCCTACCTAGCTTGAAGACCTGAATTTCCCAGAAATCAAGCGCAAGCGGCTAGAGGATAGGAAGGAGGAAGACCACAAGGAATTCAAGGATCTCTTTGAGTTGGACAGCGACTCTGACGAGGAGAGCGGTGGATTCTCTGTGAAAGGTACTGGGCTGGGGCTGAACCAGGGGTCTGCGCTCACTTCATCTGTGCATAAATCAGGCCCCATCACACGGGCATCACATGGCATGGCTCTGTCTCACATGGCTTGGGGATGCAGAGTGTGGCAGCGCAGTTGCTTTGTGGAGGCTTTGGAAACCAGCACAGGGAAGCTGGTTCAGTGTCATCCATCTTACCGCTTCATTCTTAGTGCCTTTATCCAGCTCACTCTAAAATCCCCATTACCTTTGGCCCCCATCTGCCCCTTTCCCTCTTATCCCACTGCCTCAGCACCAAGGGGTGCTAAGATCGGCCGTTGTCTCTGAATCCAGCCCCAGAGGTGTTTACCCAGAAAGGGGGCCTACTCTCCCCAGCTCCTGCAGTGCAGCTGAGGTGTGTCACTAGAGAGTGGCTCTAAGCTAGATCCATGCACTGGTCATTTGTCCCTTGCGTCTGCAGCCTGCATGGAGCTTTGGCAACAACCCGACCTTTCAGATAATGGGATGTTTATGGACCTTTCCAGCAGCACTGTTTGGTCTCATGTCTCTGCAGCTCTCTCCCCTCCATAAAATGGGGATTTGTGGCCCTGTCCTACCTCACAAAGGTGTTTAGGCTAAATACAGTAAAGAGAGGTCACTTGAATATCACAGTAAATGAGACCATAGGAATTGCCAGGTCCCACCACTGCCAACTTTCAGACCTGAGACCACACTGGAGAGCAGGGTTAACCACACACCCTTGAATCCTTGTAGGAAACTTTCTGGTGGCTTAAAGTATAAAAAAAATAGTTTTCCACGGGGCAGGGAAGTTTAGGCCAGCAGAAAGAATGGGACAGAGTCATTCACCAGCTGACCGCTAGGGGTCTGCAGTAAATTGTGGAACCTGTTTAAGTGCTCGGGAAAACTTTTCCATTCCTCCTTTAATGGGAATTTTGCCTCAAAGTGTTTTCTGAATAACTTGTCCCTACTTATCATAGGGGGAAGGCACTTGCAAGCAATCAGGATCTACCTTTTTTCTTCAGGAGTTCACCTGCTCCTGTGTCTCGTTCCACGTGTCAGGCTCTAACTTTTTGTGTGGGGCAGTGATTATGGGGTACAAGAGTAAATTCTGATGTTTGGTGGAGAATTAGGCTGGTGAAGTAGATAAAACCGTGCCTCCATTGCAGGTGTCCCTCATATACTGCAGAGACCTCTCCCTGTGTCAGACAGGGTTTTTAACTGATGGGTTTTGCAAGTGTCCTTAGTAATAAAGAGGAGCAAGGAAACATAGAAAGCCCCCCCCGCCCAGAGCTCATTCCAGTGGAGCCTTGAGGTAGCTCTGGGTCTCCACAGCTTCAGAGACCTGCCCACCAAACTGATGCTTCCCAGGCAGATGTCATTGGTCTCCCAAGGACCTGCTGTCTTCACCCTTGGAAGGCACTATTCCCCACAGCCCAGCAACAGCAGTGGGCTGTAGCTCTGTCTCTTGGTACCAGTCCCTGGTAAAAACCACGCCAGCCTTTCTGTCCTGGGGCTTCACGGGCTCACCAGAAATGTCCAATGAAGGTAACACTTCATGGTGTACAGCTGGCCTTGGTAGCTTCTCCCAGCATGCGCATGTTTGGTGTCGGTTCAGCCAGCCCCTGGGGGCCTTTGTGCAACAGGTGCACATTGTCAAGAGCACTTCATGCGGGGCAAGGCTTGCACCAGGCCTGTGTGGGAAGAGCACCTCTCGTTGAGGGGCCAGGTGTACAATTCAGCCTTGCGTTATTATATCAGTAAGGACAGTGGTCTCTGCCATTCCTAGCCTGGCTTGCAGGGTGATAAGTGACAGGGCCTGAACACAACCTGCAGCTTGAAGTGGGCTGCTTTTGGCAGCCAGTCGAAGCTCTGAGGCCTCGCGTGGAGGTGACAGAGCAGCAGGATGGGGGTGGGGGTGGAGGGTGGCTCGTGCCTCGGGGGACACGAATCAGGGTGCACAATGAGCCCTTGTCCTCTGCACTCAGCAGCTGTCAGTGTTGACCGCAGATGGAGGTGAGTCGGAGCGTGGTTGCCCCTGTCATCAGCGCCAGCATTTGCAACCTTGGAGCCAGCTATTGTTGTAATGTCTGGGGGGAAGGGGAGGACTTGCCGAATGAAACAGAAGTGCAGAGCTTGCACTGCTGCCTTTGCCCTCCACCCCACTCCTCCCTAGCCCACATGCCCCAGTTGCAGCCCTTCTGTGCTGATTTGACCTGGGGAGTTCTCAGCCCTTCTCCCCATGGCGCACACGTGGAGGAGAGGGGGCAGGGTCTGGAGGGGCAAAAGACTTTTGGTTGGCCTTTAACATTAAATCAGCACTTGCTCCTTGTGTCCTCTTTATCCCTGAGCAGCAGGGGATCTTGCTGGATCCTGATCTCGTTATATTATTAAGCTGCACACCAGGCAGAGGTGCTGTACTGGCCCATCTCAGAGCCCTGCCGATGCCAGCGATCTGCCCTCGGGAGACAAGCGGCAGCGCCTGCCTGCTCTGGGATCTCTGCACTGACGCCCAGCTCCTTCAAACACGGACACGAGTGTCTGTCCAGTGGGTCCCTCAGCCACTTGGCCCTGCCAGCTCTGTCCTCCAGGCTGTGGGCACAGGAGCAGGGAGTGGCTTAGACGCATGACACCTTCCCGCAGTGCAAGGGTAATGTAAGGAGCAACAACAGCAGCATGTGGTCAAAACAGCCTAGATGATTTAGAGCCTTCTTCCCTTAGTTTTGCTCTGGATATGTCTCATGCCAGACATGCAGTAGCCGAGAATTGATCTGAGAGGTAGTAAGCCATGTTAGTAAGGCAGTGTTTAGATGCACCTTATAGACTAGTTAAATAAGAGATATATGTGGAGCATAGGCTTTCGTGAACTTGAGCTGTGAAAGAATAAGCATAGATCAGTGTATAAAGTGGAGTATTTGAATCAAATCAAAATCAAATCATTTACTCTACTTTATACACTGATCTATGCTTGTCCCTTCACAGCATCTGATGAAGTGAGCCCGAGTTCACAAAAGCTTATGCTTTCTCTGTATACCTTATTTAGTTAGTCTGGGGTGCATATCTACCCTGCCGGGGAACAAAAACATTTAGGAGTTGCTCCAGGAAACCCAGGGTGGTGAATTAAAAACTGATGTAAATGATTTAAAAACTGATGCGTCTTTGCATCAAGAATGATGTGGACAGTTTGGAAAGAGTCCAGTGCAGAGCAAGAGAAATGATTAGGGACCTGGGAGGTAAGACTCACGAGGAAAGGCTGAAAGAACTAGGGTTATTTAGTCTGGAGAAGAGGAGACTGAAGGGGGATTTGATAGCAGCCTTCAAATACCTGAAGGGCGATTACAGAGAGGGTAAGTTCTTCTCTGTGGCCGAAAGGGACCGGACTAGGAGCAGTGGCCTCCAGCTGGAGCAGGAGAGATTTAGGTTGGGGATGAGGAAGAACTTTCTGCCTTTGAGGCTGATCAAGCATTGAAGCAGGCTGCCCAGAGAGGTTGTGGAAATATCCATCCTTGCAAGTTTTCAAGAGCAGGTTGGACAGACTTGTGGCTCGGATGGTCAGGGACGATCTGCCTTGAACTGGATCTGGACTAGATGCCCTTGTGACATCCCTTCCAGCCTTAATTTCCTGTGATCCTGTATGGCCTGAGTTTAGGATGAGTAAGATCAAGCATCCAGCTGAGCAACAACATCCAGCACTGTCCTCATCAGTGCTGAAATGGAAGAGTCTTGGGGAGACTTAAAGCGTTGGGTTTCAGGGCTCACCCCGTCTCTAGCTGTTCAGACTGGGAGGAGACCTTCTCCAGGGAGAAAATATTGCCCATGGGCCAACTCTGGGCTTCTTTACCCTTGAGTGTGGCTGCCGTTAGGGACAGGAGGCTGGACTCGTTGAATCCCTGTGTGCAAATCAGAGCCACGCTCATACAATGGTATAGACAGGAGGAAGCAGTCTGCCCCCTTCCTTTACCCCACCTCAGGCAGCATCTGGTTTACTACCATCACTGTGGCTTGCTGGGGGGACGCAGGGAAGCAGTCGAATTGCCTCCTGTTCTTAGCCAGAGACGAGACATTTGAAAGGGAGATGCCCTTTCAGGTGATAGAGAGGTTCGTGGGTGTTTTGCCCAGCCAGACACTAGCCTGCATCCAGACCAGTGGAAAATCAAATGTTAATCGCCAGGAAATTATCCATTTTCTGTTAATTAGCTGCTGTTCACAGCCCCCTCGCTCCTCTTTTTTTTTTTTAAATTAAATATTGCAGTACTTAAGTGCTCATTACAATTTACAGCGACCGTAATCTCTCTGGAGCAGGGTTAGCTGGGAGAGCAGCTGGACTCCGGGGTTAACCATGACTAACGAAAATACCTTGCTTGTTAACTCCCATCTAACGAAGGCGAGGCTGGCAGAGCAGATTAGACCTTGCTATTCGAGGGTTTTCTTCCCATGCCTGTTTCTAGTTTTGAGAGAGGCTAAGAAAAATGCAAAATAAACAGCAAAGGGAAATCTGGTGAATAGAATGGGGCGGAGGGATGTGGTTCAGCGCCGGGCACGTCCACCTCAGCGCTCTCCCTCTTTCCCAGGCCACGCCGTTGGGAAGCTCATAGCTACACGGTTTCCTTTTGCAGCTGACTTACAATGCCAGCCGCTGGCCCCGTGCATCTCGCCACAAAATCCATCTTTGCAAGTCCACAGAGTGGGGACCAGGGATACAAGGGGAGTCGCTCACTTTATCACCATAACTGCAGCTGCTGCCTCACAGACGACCCGGGCGGTTCAGCACAAGCCCCAGCCCCGCAAGGTCTCGCATACGTGCTCAACCTTGAGTAGGCCTGCTGTTCGTAGGTACCCCCAGCTCACTCGGCCTCTGGAGCAGGGCGCATGCTTAGGGGTTGGGGCCTGGGCTTGGGGACAGGGCCGTCTGTGAGCACATGCACAGGGTCTGGGCTGCAGTGACCCAGTAAGCAGCGTCCGCCTGAATTTCTCAGGGTGTTTGGGCAAGTGCAAACCTCCCCCAAGCCA